CCCCGGGGGGGTTTTCGCAGTCCCCCTGGATGTTGATGCCCAAAAGGGGTTCCTCGTTGCTTTTTGCTGGGGGCGTTCCCTATCAACCCATCCTGCCCCCCCCCCCCCCCGGTCAACACACGCCTAATGTGCCAGTTGCCCTGTATGCCTGAGGAAAATGCATTCCTCGGAGCGTACCCCCCGGCGCTGCTCTAACCTGGATCTGCTCATCACATCCATCATCCATAAGGTATGATGCGATGCTTGTCTGTCTTTCCCTGCCCAATCGTTGTCGGACCCGTGGGCTCCATGTATCCGTCACCAGGCGATGCATACCATCGCGCAGATTGTCTTTTCTCATTTTCCTGACACGGGGTGCAACCGACCATCCGGCGTAACTCAGCCAGCCTACACCCTTCAATCTGAAGTTCGAGGGGTTAGCATGACTGTAGTATATCGAGTTCTGCTGGGTTAACTGTACCACGACATGTGTCATGCTTCCCACATGCAGCACTTGTCTCTTCATACGACCGCATACGTTAGGCCGGCCGCCCTGTACAAGGCAGGTGAAATCGCGCAACACAGATGGGAGATTCAAGTTGTCTCATGGTAATGGTACTCTCTGAATAGTGCCGGGTGCCCGGTATAAGGCCGGTCGAATCCCTTGGCACTGTATGTATGGCCATATACAGGGAGCACTTCTACCGTGCCACATTTATCGTAGAGTCCGCCGTTGCTCACGGCCTCGTTCAGGCTAGGAAGTGCTTGTTCCACACGTCGTCAGCCTTTGTTTCATTGCCCACCTGGACTCCCTCTCTCCGCCACGGTGCTGTCCCACGACTGCTATTAATACTACTATTTACTGCAATTTATTTTTCGATATCTAGCTGGCAGGCCCAGAGGAGCGAGCGCGATGGACGGCACGGCAAGAGGAGGCGCAAAAGCGGGCCGCGGTGGCGGCGAGAAAGGCACGCCAACAAGGGAGCAACAACGGACCAGCTGCTCCAGGAACGCGTAAAGCGGGGCAGGTTCCAAGCTCCGCTGCCGAGTCGAAGCCTAGCCCGGCGCGGGGCGTTCGCTCCACCGGAAGCAAAAGCAACAACAACGGCGTCTTCCCTCCGGAGAGAAGCTCCCGTGGCGATGGTAACCAAGGAGGGGGAAGCACGAAGAGATTGGCACCGTCGGGGATAGCTGGTGGTGGTGCAAACAGCTCGGTTGCGGCGGCGGCAAGATGTGAAGGGTGCGACGAGGAAGGGCACGAGTTTCGGGAGTGTCCTCACCGATCGGATAGCGCTTTGGAAGGGTCGGAAGAAGAGGAAGAAGAGGACGAGGAGGAGGAGGAGGAGGAGGACCAAGACGAAGATGACGAAAATTCGGACGACGGGTGATCTCATGTGACGGATTTAGACGATTTTGGCCCTGCGTGCTCGCTCTTGCATGGCCTACGGGTAGCATGGCAGCGTGTCGTTTACGGAGTATTTGGCATAGGAGGTAGATATAGTGTGCACCGGAAAGACGCCACGGGTTTTGGTCTTTTGTTTCATGTGCCAAGGCCGGGTACGAGGTCGGTGTACTATGCATACGGCAGTGGGTTACTGTGGGCTTGTAATAGGTTTGCCTGCGATAGGAGCCGCCATAATAACTGTTCATGCTGTAATTTTTGGCCCTGTGTCCTGGGGGGGTTGCCAGTTATCACACTGATGCAAAAACAAGAACCCACGAGCACCCTACGCTTGAGATTTGTTTGGAATTCTTCGACGCTCAAATCGCGCGACACAGGTGACTCCTGGGCAAGCGAGAGAAGAACTGCGTCTTGTCACCCCTAGTTCATCGGTCGATCAACGCTGGTTCTTATATGTGACGAAGCCTAGCACTTGTATGTCTGGTCCCGGTTTCATTGGTTGGACGGGCCACGTGCATAAGATAAAGAGTCTTGGGCGTCGTGTTGGAACGCAAGTATATTTCGAACCTGCTCAAAGTCCAGTGCCGTTTCTATACCCCGCCTGTTCTTAAGTGCACCTCTGCCTCTAAACTAAACCGATGGTTCCGACACACAAACGCTCAGCGATACTCGGCGACAGAACATCTTCGTGCCTAAATATGCCCGCGTCCACTGGCAGCCGTGTCTACGAACAATGACACGGCGTATCGCAACGCGACCCTCCTCTTCCTCGAACCCCCTCCTTTCTGTTTACAATTCTCGAAGCACATCCAATCCCCAGGCCACCCTAATTCAATCTACTCTAATGTCCCTTCGAGTCAGCTCCACTCGCCACAGAAGCAACGCGAAGGACTGCACACATCAAGGTTTAAAAAATGTTGCCTTCCGACCCTGCCCACTGCCCTGAGAGACTGTCGAAATATGACGCATTTTTCTCGTCCTGCCGGTCGCCTCAGCAGAACTGTCATCGTCTGCATACGCGAAATGAGGGGTTCCGGCATGCATAGCCTTCCCGACACCCCGCCGTTGCCCCCGCGAAGTCGACGGTGTGCCGGTAAGCCGCTCCGACACGGAGGAAAATACGCCACCTTTAACAACGTCCCTTCGCGGTGGCCTTGCTACACGCTTACAACCCTCACGTCGTGTTTTGTTACAACCATCCGGGATGAATAACTTACGCTCGAAGAGGCTTTGCGAGCTCTGTTCAGTCGGCCTGAATGAACGTGCCCCAGTTACCGCCCAGTCCAGTTCCCAAGGAACATCTGGATTTCCACCCGGCTCTCATTTGAAACCCAGCGACCCCCCTGATCAAAATTCCTGACGCTAAGTAAACCTGCCGTGCGCCCCACTTGACACCATCAACGCCAACACAGGTAACAAAAACAAAATGTTAATACCCACCCCACTGGTGACAACGCACGTTTGCAACCAGCACACCCAACCCACTCATGTGCCTCATCATTGCCAAGGGAGCCTTTGGTCCTGAGTCCTCAAGGTACTTGTCATGCCCCGTGCACACCAAAAGAGGCGAGACGTGGAGCGCTACGCCTCTCTTCGATGAAATCCTTGCTCCTCATCTCTGTCTTGCCAAAAATCAGTCGGCACATCCCGACCCTCACCCTCGCCCTCCTCCTCGACTCTTTGCAATTCTCCCGGGCTATGCCGCTTCGAGATCCACTGGGGATCGGCGCACGACCGCAGCATGCGCTTCTCCTGATCCGGGCGTGGCTCAAACCCGGCTGCGGTCATCTTGTCAAGGGCGATCGTCGACGCCTCATAATCGCCCGCCGTAATACACACCTGTTGTTGGGAAAACGAACATATTCGGGCAAGGCAGGGTTAGCGCGGTCTCAAAAGTACTGTCTGGCCGGCTATCTTGCAATTCCTCGTGGGTAACCAACCGCGATCGTGTCGTGACTGCATCCAGCGAGCGAGGCGTCAGCTTGCCCTCCTCCCACACAAGCGGGGTGACCCCCACCGTTCCAACAGCAATCTGCTCGGACGTGGCGCCTGCCGATGCTACAAACATAAGCGCTGGGGAATCGACGGCACACACAGGTTTTCGCTGGAAACGCCCGTGCGCCGCAAGGAATTGGCACAAACAGGACAACCCGGTTTCAGGTTTTACCTCCAAGGCCATGGCGTACATCTTGGGGACAGCATCCAAGCCTAGCTCCTCGTTGAGGCGGAGGACTTCAAGCGCAATGTCGCACTGGTCGGTGCACGCGTAGAGCACATCCATCAGGTGCACATGCTCGATCGGCACCTGACAAGAAACACGCGCAACCCGGAGTTAAAACGTCAGCTCAGTGCTCAAGAAATAAACCAAGCTTTGCCTTTGCTGTGGTCGTTGGGGGGGTTGGGGGGGGGGGGTGTACTCATAGTCGTGCATGCCGTAGTCGTTAGACCATTGACCTCGCATCCCTACAAAGCCGGGACGGAGCACGCCGGGTTCTCACCGGACCAGGCTCTCACATCACCAAGCGCGAAGCGCCGTGAGGTATTCGGCGAGTCGCATGAAGGGCGCGCTGCATCCTGCTAAGGGTGTTCGGCATCTTGTGCTTACTTCCTTGCGTTCGGATGACAGCTGCGTATGACTTAATTTATTTTCTGGTGCTTTCATTTCCAGAGACAGTTGTAGGCACTGTGTAACTGCCTCGAAGATGCTTTACCATTTTAACACAACGTGGTGCGATCATCCATCCCCCTTGCGCGGAGTGAGGGTTCTCGACCCCGCACAACATGATCTACTCGACCACCATTCATGGTTACCGCCAAAAAAAAAGAGGAAAAAAAAAAACGGTAACAACCTGGTTGCCGAGTTCACGAAGTGAATTGGCTTGTTTTACAACGTCGTTGACAAGCGACGAAAACCCAATCCCGATGGCAAACACCAGGGTGGGCGGCTTGTTTTACAACGTCGTTGCCAAGCGACGAAAACCCAACCCCGATGGCAAACATCGGGGCGGGAGCGGGGGGGGGGGGGGTTCCGTGGTGCGCTTCCATTCATAGTAACCCATACACCGAGAGGAAGACCACGGCGCATTACAAGGCAACCTCACGTCTGTGTTGCCATTACCATCCCTGCGACGCGAAAGAAAAAAAGAAGGTGGTACACCATTCCGCTCCAAGAGCTGGAAGGCGCATCCTTGGTGTCGCCAGTGTCCGCGATCGCCCACAAAATTATGTTCTTGAGTGTTTACAAGTGATCCCTCCGGAGTGGGCTGATGAGAGCACAGCGGTGTCAGCAAAGGGTGATGCAAGAAGGAATAAAAGTATGGCATGCAGGACCAAATCACAGCTAACTGTCAACTGCGGTGTGACGTTTCCCCATGCTCAACAGGTCACACAGCCGGCGTGTTTTTGACTCGAACAGCCCAGCGAACCTCAACGAAAGTCTATAAATCTGTATGGACTACGAGCGGCAGAGTAGATACGACGCGCGGCCATACTAGACGGCGGCAACGTCACAAGAGGCCCAGGCGCTAGGCGTATATACGTACCAGCATCTCCCGCATTTCGTCCAGCACCCACGCCGCCCTCCTCGCGTCTTTGCAGTCCGTAAAAGCCTCGACGAGAGCCTTGTAGGTCATCTGAACCGGCAAGGCAGAGGGGTGTTTGCGGTTCGCGTTACCGTACGTCCAGCATCCCGCACATGAAAAAATGTTACCAGGTATTCCGCGTAGGCCAAGGTGGCCTAACACTGAGCGCTGGTATGAAGGTAACGGACCGACGCTGCTACAGCTGGTACAGCTGGTACAGCTGCTACAGCTGCTACAGCTGCTACAGCAGTCACGTTGTTACGGGCAAAGGCACCGTCTGGCACTCCCCGCCCCCTGATAAGGATCAAGCGGCACCAACAACAACTACCCAAGGCGACAGCGCAAGCAGGAGTCATACGTATCCAGTGCGGGCGCAGATAGATCGCCCGGGGTACAGCACTACCCGCTAAGGTGGAGCCAGCTCAGCTGCGCACCTCCGTGGGGACGATGGACATGCGGAGTTGGGAGGCGTACAGAAACACGGCCTCGTCGCTCTTGCTGCAGCGCGCGCACGTGCGGATGGCCGTCGCGTAACTCTGCGAGTTAGCCGGCATCCCCATGTCGATCATCTCCTCCAAGAGATTCATGGCCAGCTCGTAATCTCTGAGGTGCACGCTCGCGTGGAGAGCGCCCGCGAAGGAGTACTGCGTGTGTTGGGAGGAGGCATAAGCGCAAGTGATCAGGCCTTGGGAGAGATGGAGAGGTAGGGCGAGGTAAGGCAAGCATCGTCGGTGGACGGGGAAGGCCGCCGGTATGTTAACGCGGAAGACAAAATGTCGGGGGCCGGTACTATTGGAGCTTTTAATGCACTGCAGACTAGGATATGTACCTCCTACCCGTTTATCTCTTCCGAGAGAAAAACGGCGCGGGATTACAAAAACCGTACCTGGATACAACGTCATCGACAAACAAACGCACCCCGAGTCGCCAGCGCCACACGCGGGCGAGTAGAGAAGGGCCGGAATCCAACGAAAGCGATCTTGCAACCACCGTTCCCGTCCTCCGGGAACAGTGATCCAACAAGATCACCGGCGGTGTACCCTGCCTTTCTCTACTCGCCCGCGTGTAGCGCTTTCGACTCGGGTCTCCGTAGCTCGGGGAGCGTGTCCTCGTCCGACCCAGGGCCGGCGACGGGTGCTTACCCTTGCGCAACTACCGCCGCTTTCGCCGTCCAAGGCAAGGCTTCCTTGACGTAAAAACAAAGGAAGCGGCGGTACTTGTGTTTGCAAAGTGG